CATGATGGGAAATCGATGCCGCCTGTACACCTCCGGGATCGATGGCTGTGGCAGCTGGCTGTGCCAGGGTCAGCGTCCCTATCAATACCCCCTCGTTAATTAAGATGTGGAGGCTCAGGACCATGAGCCTGGTGCAGAAGTTGGCTGTGGCTCAGAGCAGAGCCAGGGCAGGGTCTGTTGGCTTGCACACGTGTCCCTGACCACTTTCTCCTCAGCTCCCAGCCAAAATTGCTTGAGGACAAAGCCAAAGAAAACCTCCTAGAGAGGGTCAGGGCACTCTGGCCATGCCTGGCCCTCTGAGGACATTGTACCACCAGGGGTGACCCTATCATCTGTCCCAAAAGATGGACCCCAGGGCATCAGGGCACATGGGGCTGTGCCTGATCATCTGCCAGGTGTCCTGGCTACCCCCACAGCCTCACTCTCCCTTACCCGCCAGGGTACCCCGACCACATGGTGTTTGCTGAGTTCAGGCGACGCTTTGACGTCCTGGCCCCGCACCTGACCAAGAAGCACGGGCGCAACTACATCGTGGTGGATGAGAAGCGGGTATGTGCCCTGATTGAGGGTCCCCTGCACCCCACGGTGCCACCAGCCCATCTCTGACACCTCTTCCTCCCCACAGGCAGTGGAAGAACTTCTGGAAACGTTGGACCTGGAGAAGAGCAGCTACCACATGGGCTTGAGCCGGGTATGTTGCCCAACACTGGCTGTAGGCAGCGGCAGTGGCACAGGGCAGGGGTGGGCGGCACGGCTCGGCACAGCGCAGCGCGGCAGCACAAGGGCAGCACTGTTCTCTCCCACCTACAGCATTCCTCATGCCAGGGTGATAAAACCCCACAGCAGGACAGGACCAGTGCCTGCAGAGGGGAGAGCCGTGTTCCTACAGACTGGTGCAGCAGGAGGGTGGCACGGCCTGCCGGAGGGATGCTGGCACCCATCGGCATCTCATCCTGCTCCCCTCCTGCAGGTATTTTTCCGGGCTGGATCTCTGGCCAGGCTGGAGGAGCAGCGGGACGCGCAGACCAGCAGGAACATCACCCTCTTCCAGGCAGCGTGCAGGGGCTTCCTGGCACGGCAGCAGTTCAAGAAGAGGAAGGTTCGTCCCAGCGCTTTTCTCCTCCCTGCTCCGCTGCACAATTTCGCCTAAAATGGGCAGTGCAGCCTTTCTGCAGCGCCTGGGCCAGCACCTCCTCCTCCCACCTCCCTCCCACCCCCACCCCCCGCGCCTGCCCAGCTGTGGGGAGCCCTGGGGGGCCAGGGGAGACCAAGGGGAACTGGTGGGGACGGCACAGGGGATTGCTACGGTGGGATGGAGTGGAGTATTGGCTCCTGCTTTTATTAGCAAAGAGGGTGTAAAATAGGCATCTCGACAGCACCTCGCAAAATTAATGTTTGGAGAGGTTGGAGGGAATCAAACATCAGATAAGCCGGGTGCAATTAGCCCAAATGCTAATGAAGGGGAGCACACCAAGGTGCTGCCAGGGGTGCTGAGCACCCTCCCACCCTGACACCATAACTGGTGCTGACACTGTGCCCTGTGCAGATCCAGGATTTGGCCATCCGGTGCGTGCAGAAGAATATCAAGAAGAACAAGGGGGTGAAGGATTGGCCCTGGTGGAAGCTCTTCACCACCGTGCGGCCCCTCATCGAGGTGCAGCTCACCGAGGACCAGATCCGTGGCAAAGACGTGGGTATCCCTGTGCTGAGGGGGATGCTGGATGGGACAGGGTGGGCTCGGGGGAGTCTTGGTCCCGGGCAAGGCCCTGCAGTGGGGTGGGATGCAGGAAGCCACAGTGGGGTGGGAATGGGCAGGATGGGATGCAGGACTCCATGGAGGGGTGGGACGCAGGATCTCATAGTGAGGTGGGATTCAGGACAGCGGCTGCCCCGCGCCTCGGCAGCGCCAGGCTCCAATTGCTCCCTAATTTGCGAATCAGCATGTCATTAGCATCCCGAGAGCCGGCTGTTGCATGAGCCCAATTACAAGGCGTGGAGAATGGAAATGAAACCGTGTGCCGAGAGGCATATGCAGGGGCTGGGTGCTGTGCTGGCAACCAGACACTCGTGCCCCTGCTGAGCCGGCCCAGTGCGGAGCTGCTGCCTGGCTCAGCTTTCACCCCGACACACAGAGGACGGGCTCCCAGGGTAGGGGCACCTGGGCCCCCTCCTGCTCCCCCCCCAGCCTGTGCTGGGACCAGAGGCAATGAGAGAAAGATGCGCTTGAAGCTGGCAGCCAGGCACGCCTCCCTGGGGCTGGCTGGTGGTCCCTGGGCATCCTGGTGGGCCCCTTCCCTCCCCACCTGGGCTGGGTGCACCCAAAGCCTTTGGCAATGGGTGGGTTTGTTCCCACCCCCTCCCCAGGGGGGTGCAGGGATCCCTCTCTGGCTTTGCCTGGCGTTTCGACACCATTTATGGGGTTGGAGTCAGCACGCAGAGCGGGTTGGGGAAAGTCCCTGCCCAGCCCTTGGCAGGGGAGAGCAGCCCCCACCCCGGGGAGCCCCCACCCTGCCCACCCAGTGCTGCTGGGACCCTGGGGGGGTGCAGAGACCTGCCCTGCTCCTGCCTGCCAACTTCTTCCCCTTGTGCCTGCCCCCTCCGTCACCGCCTGCTCTGTTGCAGGAAGAGATCCAGCAGCTGAAGAGCAAACTTGAGAAAGTGGAGAAGGAGCGTAACGAGCTGCGGCTCAACAGCGACCGTCTGGAGAGCAGGGTAGGTCCTTGCCGGCCCTGGGAGGGGGTGCAGTGCCATGCCAGCCTGCCCTGGCCCCAGCCCACGTCCTGTTTCACCCCCTGGCAGATCACAGAGCTGACGTCCGAGCTGACAGACGAGCGGAACACGGGCGAGTCAGCCTCCCAGCTGCTGGACGCTGAGACGGCCGAGAGGCTGCGGGCTGAGAAGGAGATGAAGGACCTGCAGGTTAGTGTGCTTCTCCCTGACTTCATGGCATCCCCTAACCGCCCCCTCCAGCGCTCACCACAACCATGTCTCCTTCCAGGCCAAGTATGATGCTCTGAAGAAGCAGATGGAGTCAATGGAGATGGAGGTGATGGAGGCTCGGCTCATCCGGGCAGCCGAGCTTAATGGGGAGCTTGACGATGATGATTCAGGTACCATCCTGCCCCCGGTGTTCCCACTGGCACACCCTGGGTGCCCCATGGTCATGGCACCATGCCCCTCTCTCCATGGTAGCCACATAGCACCCCACACAGCCCCTTGGTGACCCTGTTTCCCCACACAGGTGGCGAATGGCGACTGAAATATGAGCGGGCAGTGCGGGAGATCGACTTCACCAAGAAACGGCTGCAGCAGGAGCTGGAGGACAAGCTGGAGGTGGAGCAGCAGAGCAAGAGGCAGCTGGAGCGGAAGGTGAGTGGGAGCACCCCCCAGTCCCCTCAGCATGGGGATGGGCAGGGGGTGGACAGCAGCTACGGCCTGCTCCAAGCTGGGAGGGAGGACACGGCCAGGGCAGTAGGGACATGGTAGCTTCCCAAAGCCCTGATTGCCCTCCCACTCCTGCCCGCAGCTGACGGACCTGCAGGCAGACAGCGAGGAGAGCCAGCGGGCGCTGCAGCAGCTGAAGAAGAAGTGCCAGCGCCTGGCTGCCGAGCTGCAGGACACCAAGCTGCACCTCGAGGGGCAGCAGGGGCGCAACCACGACCTGGAGAAGAAGCAGAGGAGGTGGGGACTGCAGAGTTGGGGGGATGGCGTCCTTGCTGCGCAGTGAACGTCTTGCTCAGTGGCATTACCATTTTAGCCGGGATTTGGGCACCTCACCAGCTCCCAGTTGGCTGAGGTGCTTCCAGAAAGATGGGGCTGTCCGGGTTGGGTGTGTTCATAGTGGGGGGGACCCCGGTGCCCTTTTGGGGGACTGGGAGCTGAGGGAAGTCCCCATGTGGGGCTGTGCCCCATGGTGGAGGCTGCTCACGCCCTGTGGCTCTGCTCAGCACACGCTCTCGGCCCGTCCCCTCTCCCAGCCCCAAAGTTTGCTAACGTTATTAAGCAGCAGGGATGCTTTCATCTCATTATGGTAATGATCACACACAAATACAGCGAGAGAATCCAATCTAATTAATTTCAATTTCCGCGGATTGGAGCCTGTGCTAATGCAGCTGTTTATTACCCAGCACAAGGAAAGATGGGGATTAGCTGCCGAGGTGTTTAACGCAGGTCACAAACTCAAGCACAGGATTGTTTTCCAAGCCCCAAAGGCAGTGATTTCAGAGCAAACCTGGTTGATCCCATCCCAGGGGCACTGGGAGAGGCTGCCCAGCTCCAGGCTGTGCTGAGCACATCCCCACCAGGGGCTCACGTCCCCTTCAGGGATGGGACCAGTGCCATCCCATGTGGGACTGGAGCATCAGGCTGCAGCTGGGAGAGCTGAGTTGCTGCAAGACCCTGTCTCTGCTGGAGACCCCCCCATGCATTGCTGCCCCTCCAAGTCCTGCAGGTCCTCTGCATCTTGCAGACCCACTACATCTTGCTTGGAGGGTGCAGTGTTCCCAGTGGCCTCCATGTAGCCAAGCCCCTACTGTTAGTAGCCACAGTCCCTACTGGCACGTGCCAGCCCCACAGGGTGGCTCATCAGGCTACTGGGGTTAGTGCTGCTGGTGCTGCTCTCTCCATTAGCCGCTAAGTGAAGGTGTTGGGAGGAGTTTCTCTAAGTGGCTCCATGCCACCATGCTGGCAATTAAAGGCTCATCAACAGCATGTTTCAAACGAGCAGCCAGCAGCACACCGCCCTTTCCGGTGCCTGCTGCCGTGGGATGGGAATGCTCAGCAGTGTGGTGCTGGTGGTGGTGTGAGGCTGGGGACCCCTTGGGAGCTCTGAGTGCCCATCCTGCTCTCTCTGCACAGGTTTGACAGCGAGCTCTCACAGGCACATGAGGAGGCACAGCGGGAGAGGCTGCAGCGGGAGAAGCTGAGCCGCGAGAAGGACGTGCTGGTGGCTGAGGTCTTCGGCCTCAAGCAGCTGCTGGAGGTAAATGGTGCCCAGTCCTCTCCCCAGTCCCCTAACCAGCGGTTGCTTTGGTCTGACAGTGACCCTCTCTTTTGGCAGGACAAGGACTCAGACATCACGGGGCTGACGCAGAAGATGGAGGCACTGGAGGCCGAGCTGCAGGACATCTCCTCCCAGGAGTCGAAGGACGAGGCCTCCCTGGCCAAAGTGAAGAAGCAGCTGCGGGACCTGGAGGCAAAGGTCAAAGACCAGGAGGAGGAACTGGATGAGCAGGCTGGGACCATCCAGATGCTGGAGCAGGTACAGCGGGGAGGTGCAAGGTTTCTGGGTGGGGTGGTTTCGTGTAGG